TAAATTGGGTTATTAGTTTTTATATTTTTGAGTTGTTTGAGTTCTTCATATGTTTTAGATATTAGACCCTTACTTTATATATGGTTATGTATGGTTTACAAGTTATTTTTTAACCAATCCAAAGAAAGAAAATAAGGGAAGAAAGAATGAATGAATCAGATAAAATAAAACAAAAAAAATTGGGGCGGGGAGGAGATGAAAGTGAAGGAAATTCTATTAACAATGTCCATAATATAGCATGGCCTGGAAGAATAAAGGCTCTCTGACATGATTTTCAGAATAACAATGTATTCACCTTTAAAATAAACCTGATAATAATTTCCTTAAAGTAGTTTTATGGAGATTAAGGAAGAAAAGGATATAAGAAACATCTACTTATCTCCAGAGCAAAAAGAATGAAGTCAATGTGCAGTTCTGCAAAATAGATCAGATATTCAGAATTTTACGATGGTCAAACCCATCTTGTGATCAAGTCATATATTTACAGACTTGATGGATAGCCTCAGGGAGGTGAGAAAAAGCCTTGTTCAGTATCTTCCAAAGCACCACATTACATGGGAGGATGGAGAAAGAGAAAGAAAGTTCCATGGTGATGTTCTTTACTTTCTTAAATTTCTCCTTGCTCTGAAGTTACTGCTTCAACATATCAAAAACCCAGATTCCTAGTGTCTGATTCCTTCTAAAAGAACACTGTAAACAATCTCCTGACCACACTTTTGTCTATGTTTCCATTTCTAGGAGTTTTAAAACAGGACTTATATTTGAAAGACATCAACTTCACTGTCAGAACTTAGATTCTCATATCCTAGTCATGGGTTTCAATTTCAGACTTTAAAGACCCCGCCAAACAAATGAATGTAGGAGCAGCCCATTCTGAGAAAATCATTTCCTCATGGTGAGGAAAACAATCAGAAGGTCACTCTAATCTCAACAGGGAGACTCTACACGCCGCCCCCCCCCCAACTGCCAAGTATTATCTATCCATCTGCCACAGAGGGAGACTTAATGCAATGAACGCACAGGATGAAGGATGAAGTAGGAGGACACGGTAGTCACTCAGAATCAACAGCTAGACTCTTTCATTTATAATGGTGAGTCATTGCATTTCTGCTGAAATTACTAAGATAATCAGTCTTGGGCCCAGTTGTTCAGAAGAGCACAAATGCAACTAGTTAGTAAGGTCATACCATCAATCACTGCATAAAGACACAGAGAAAGGGTGGGTATTTTACTTTAAAAACATTTAATACATATACATTTATATAGTATTATAATATTCTCATGAAATTGTAAAATAATAAATATTAAAGAGTCACACACACACACACACACACAATTTGGCTAACTAACTTCAAATAACCATAAGTGCAATAGGAAAACACAAGTCACTTAGTCATGTGATTCATACACATACTATTCACCAGTATAGAATATCTGTTTGTCCTTACTCAGTCTAATATTACCAATAGTTTGCTGGGCCCAAATATTTAAGCTACTTTTAAATATATGCACATAATTCATTCCTCACATATAAATACCCATTATCTCATTATTTTTTTTTTTTGCCTTAAAAGTATGATGACTTTTAATATTAAGGTTGTTAAGAGTTTATAAATATAAGCTGTACTATACTTCCTTCTTCCTTCTACCACTCAGTCAATGAAAAGCTTAGGAAATGAAAAAGTACCAGGATAAAGACTGCATGTCCTTGGGGACCATTAACATATTAATGAATGGTGTTTCTATTTACACTTCTATCACCAGAGCTAATTGTTAGCTATTTTAAGAAACAGGTTATGCCTTAATTAACAGCACTTGGTAAATGAAAGCTGTTTGCATTTCTTAAGTATGTTCAAATTTCACAAATCTTATTTCACAGTAGGGCTTCCAGTTCATTCAATTCTTTCATGTAATAACACCTCTGATCAAGAAAGAAGTATTTAAAAGACCTCAAATAATTAGTTTCCAGAACTGAAGTCAACAAAAGGCATAATTAATAAGTAAGCTAATTATTTATCTCTAGAGCATTCACATACATGCACATTTTAAATGATGGAAACTGAAAAGAATAAGAACACTTTTGATATTTAGTATTTCTAATTCAGATATTTCTCAATACTCAACAAACTCAAGAGTTTAGGGGTGACATTCTCATTTTAGTAATATTAGAGTACTTATAATTCTACCCCTTTCACATACTCTCTTGTCTATCCATGCCTTGGGCCTGTTGTAGGGTTGAACTTAATAGTGTGCTTTGTAAAACAGAAAATCCTATAGTTTCTTTGTCTTTTTTTTTTTTTTTTTTCGCTTTTTGCCATAGGATGCAGGCACTTGCAGGAAAGAGAGAGACAGAGATAGAGGGAAAGTGAGAAATCACCCGCTGGAGAGATAGCCACACTGCAATCTCTTCTCCTCCCTTCTCTAGTGATTTTGGGCATGCATGCACACACACACACCCAGCATGATTTTCACCCCGCCAGTCCAGGACTCAAAATGCACTCAGCTATGTGGGAGTCCAGTGCCTTAACCACCATGCCACCTGCTGGCCCCGAAAATTGTAGTTTCTGCTTTGCTGAGCCTGTCCACAAGATCATTTCTCTGCTTCTTACCTTTCTACAGTTGTGTCACCCCCCCCTGAGCCATCTGAACCATAGCTCCTGCCTCTCCAGCTTTGTGATCTTCCCCCTTCCCCTCCACTTCCCTCTCTTCTCTTATAAAAACGTGTTTTCTATTTTTGCTTTAAAGGCACGGATAAAGACTTTGTGCATAATCTTTCAGCCCTGGCCCAGTCTCTGTCACAGTCTACTCCTTTGCCGCCTACTGCACCAAAAATCAAGGAAAATAAAAATAAAAAGACCAAACTCCTAAACCACTATTTTTCCGTTCGTTGCCAGTTTGAATTCAAATTTTTCCCTTTTTCAGAATCAGAAACAACCAACGGAGGACAACTGGAGGGAAAACAAAACAAGTAAATAGAGAAAATAATCTTGGTTACTATTCCCTTATTTGATTTTTACTGTATATGAGAGGATCATGAGGCAGGAGCCAAAGCAATAACAGCAATACTAGCAGCAATTTTAAGAAATCTGAAGCACTTAGTCCCATTTTAAAGGTGAATGCATTGCTATGCTAATTCATTTACCATTTCTTTTTTTTTTTCTTTTTTTTTGGAGAGGTTTTTTTGTAATAGGGCACATGCGCTCACCAGACAGACAAGAGAGAGACAGAAAGCAAGAAATCACCCCTCAGGGGGGATGGCCACACGGCAATCCCTTCTCCTCCATTCTCCTCTCGGGATCATGGCCACGCACGCACACATGCCTGGCGTGAGTTTTAAGCCACCGGGTTTGGGACGTGAACCGCGGTCGACTACATGGGAGTCCAGCGACATAACCATTACGCTAACTACTGGTCCCAAATTCATTTAACCTTTCTGACAACCATATGAGGTAAACGTTATGCAAGAAGAATCAGAGCACCAAAGTTTCTCTCTCCCAGATTCTCAAGGCTAGTAAGTGGGACAGAACCAAGTCATTTGGCTCTACGACTTGCTTTTTTAAAAGAGATTTTCACTATAGGGTGTGTGGACTCACCAGAGAGATGGAAAGCAAAGAAATCACCCCCTGGGGGGATGGCCATGCTACAATCCCTTCTCCTCTTCTCCCTTCAGGATTTTTGGGCACGCACGCACGAACATGAGCCTTGTGTGTTTCAAGCTGCTGGGCCTGGGACTCAAACCGTGGTCAGCTATGTGGAAGTCCAGCGCCTTAACCACTATACTATCTGCTGGCTCTACAACCTGCCTTCGTAAGAACTGTGTCAGATCAGCACAACTGCACCTATTCCCTCTACATGCTGTGCATTTAAATGGATATTTTTTCTACAGGTCTTAAAGAATAAATTTATTGGGGGCTAAGGTGAGTAGAAATTTCTTTAATATACAAAATCTTTCAATTAAATAGCCACACCATCGGATTGAGTAGATATATATGTTGCAGTAAAGAATGGAAAGAAGCCAAAATGTTGTGAACCAAACAGAAATGCCTACATGAGTGAAGTTTCAAGCTCCCTCTCTGTAACAGGCACTGTACGAGTTTTGGGTCTAGCTGCAACCTTTGCCTTCAACCAGAACTCTCCTAGAACCCAGAGGCTACTGGTCCACCAGCTCAAAGTGTTTCCTGCCAATGCTTCATTATTGACCATTAAGATTCCCATTGCACCTCTGCCTTGAATACACATTAAGAAAAAGAAAAATTGTGCTAATAGGAGAGACTTAAAGCAAAGCTGTCGCTCCCTTCTCTGCACCTCCCAGGGTCATTCTCTCCAGCACAGGAGCAGTAAGACTGGCCTCTTGAGACAGTGTCTGGGTATTTAACTGTCTAACCAGCTGAAATGATTCAATTGGAGGAATTCAGACCAGGCCGGAAGACTGAAGAATCTAAGACAAAAGACAACTGGGATTTTGCATGACCTTAATGTAAAGAGGCCAATTAAAGCTTCTGCCCAGTGTTTCTGATTGCCTTCTGTGCTGGCTTTGGTGCCAGTAATAAATCCGAGAACAATACAGGGAGTTTCTTTCTACACAGCAAGCAGAAGAATAAACTGTCATAGTGGAGTGCCTTGTCAACCCCCTGTTTGAGAATAATCCTAATATCTAGAAAGTTTTGAAGTAGCATTTCATCTTTTCCGTTTGCTTTCTGCCCAGGATATTACCACTTCAGTTTCCAACAACAACGACAAAATATACACCAAGAGACTAAGTCACCCTTCCTGAAAAGGAGACAAATCTGTTCTGAAAGCAACTGTTCATTTGGCACTACACCAAATGAATTAAAAAAAAAAATAAGAAAACAGCAAGTTATAAACATAACAGGCATGAAAAGCATGAACACAGTACAAATATCTTCTTTGGAAAATGCCGGTTACGTCAAAAATCCAATAGTTTGAAAAGTATAACTCCTTTATTTTTCCCAAAGAGAGAAAGAAGCACAAGTACTTACCGTGTCATGAGACTTGTCCTTGACATCATAGACTGTTAGTTTTATTTTAGTCTCCTCATAGATGGGATACTCGGATGGGAATGTGACACCAGTCAAAAACAGTGGGTCTCTTGTTCCCTGTAACAGCAGAAGCAGACCACGTTGACTCCATAAGGCAGCAACTGTAGTTGGCAGTGTGCAGTGACACAGGAGAATGCAGAAGTGTGTCTGATCTGTTTTTCTAGGAAATAGTTCTATGAGAAAAGAGATCTGAATTGTCAAGAGTTGCTGACGGTTAACACCACAGCTTAGGGCCTCCAAGTATTGATATAGTTGTTGATAGCAAATGGACCTGGATCATAGCTGTTGATAGCCTTGAAAAACAATTTATTTTCATTAGATGCAGAACCCTCGTTAGGGTCAGTTGTCAGTCCATTGGAAATACATGTAATAGACATGACCTATGTTTCATGCAAATAATCAGAGATACTGACTGATTCGATGAGCATGAGGCTGTTTTGTAAAGAGCCACTTGGTAATCTGAAGCTGGCCATGTTTCCTCTTGATAGTGATTCTATGGAAAACCACACTCTGACAGTGTCCATTTGTTTTTAGATGTTCAGCTGTGATGTTCCCCAGACCAACTCGAAAACTAATGAAATAAATTCTAAATATAATGGATCTGGGGCTTTGAAATTACTATCTCAGAGTACAGTGTACAGGAGAATCGGAGGCCTCAGAATTCATTTTTAGAGAGCTGACATTCAACATTTAATTAGGTGGGTATATATATATATATCTATATATGTACGTATGTGTGTGTGTCTGTGTGACACATATCTACACACACACATCTTTGCTAGAGTTCTACAAATAACTTGTCTATGGAAGTTTCTGGAGAACCAAGTTATTCCCACATTCTCACTCATTCATACCCTTTATCAACAAATACTTTTTACTTGGCATTGCCCCAGACACATGGGAACAGCAATGAATGAAACAGCCAAAAGTAGAAAGAAGTATTCAAATTTTAATATAAACAAACATTTCTTATGGGTAAGATGGTAATTTTTTTTCACATTTTTCTCCTTTTATGTATAAACAAAAGCCCTCCAAATTACAATGTGAAGAACACTATATAAAATTCCCATAAAAATTACAGCAGGATTGTTTTCATCAGTGGGGCAATTACTGTAGCTTCTTCTGAATTGAACAGCATCTTGTGACATGTATTCTTTCATTTTTTTTAAGAAAGGTTTTTGCTATAGAGTGGTGTACTTGCCAGAAAGACAGAGAGAGACAGAAAGCGAGAAATCACCACCCAGAGGTGATGGCCACGCCACAATCCCTTCTCTGTTCCCTTCTTGGGATTTTGGGCACACATGCACACAGCATGCGTTAAGCCACAGAGTCCGGGACTCGAACCGTGGTCATCTACATGGGAGTCCAGCAACATAACCATTACACCATATGCTGGTCCCTCTTGTCATATTTCTTAAACATTGAGGGAAAAAGGAAAAGGCTCCAAACATTAATAAAATAATATTTTAAAGTTTTGGCAATATTTTAAAAATAATTAATTTGAAATAATACTCAAAAATTCTTCATATAAAATAAAGCATCTTACAATTTTCATCAAGTTGTCTCTATGTCAGTAAGATTATTTTTTGTTAATTCTTTGACAGCACAAACTATACCTTATGCCACCAGTGGAATCTTGAGTTGCCAAAGGGCAGATTCAGGGCTCTGTGTAGTTATCTGGGTCATTCCCATTATAGACATGACTCGAGTTCAGTCTGAATCATTTTTCCACCAACTGCATTAAAGCAGGCAGTCAGCAGTGAGCAAGCCAGGTCTGGGGCTGGCTACTTAGGTTCCTACAGAGAAACTCCTCATTCTAAACAGAGGGAGCTCACTAGCCTAAGAAAAATAAGCACATCTTAAGGAGTTTAGAGTAAACTTTCTCCAGCCCCAGATGTTCAAATTCACTCAGGTTGTGAAACGTGTGATTAGAACAAAATAATCAAAAGGGAAACACTTCCTCTTTTGAATCTGAGCCAACACAATAACATGCTTCCTCTTGACACATTCTGAATGTTATATTCGTAACAATAAATGTAAATAGGAAATCTCTCATCTGATGAGTAATATTTACACCTTTTGCTTAAAAACATTACAGCTTCTCAAATTAATTTCCTGCCTTCTTTTGAAAAACTTCTAGATACTTTGAAAAATAAAAAAAAAGATACTTTGAAAGATGCACATAGTAGCAGAGAATAAAGTGCACAGTTGGACTGAAAAATACAGAAAATAAAAAGCAAAAACACTTAATACTTTTAAAGCATCTTTGGGTACTTTATAACTTTTTTCCTTCAAAATAAATACTCATTCCATTTAGTTTAAAACTTGATTTTGCTTTCTTCTACTTCATGCTTTATTTGGGGATTCAAAGTGAGAAGTTTGTTTTCTATCTATAGAAGAAAAAAATAAGCTTCTTTTTCTTTTTCATGAAAAAGACACCAACTTTTCCCCCTATTTGTTTATTCTGGTGAGTTACCAATGCATGCTTAATAACCTCAGATATGCATTCCTTAATGACAGAAGAGAGCAACACAGAACTGTTTGTTCAAATCCAGGAAGAGAGGGGGAAGAGGAGGGAGAGACACAGAGAGAGAGAGAGAATGAATAATGCAGGCATGCAGTGTGCTCACCTCCACAATTTCAGTGCTGGAGTATCTTGTCAGACTCTGCTCCGCCGGGTGGATCACCGAGATCTGCACCAATGTATTCAGTTTCCGATCACGGACAGGAGCCACAAGATCCTTGCATGCTGGAGGTGGTGGAGGAAGGAGAAAGAAAAGAAACTCACATCGTATCTAGCGTAAACTTCTCTCGAGTTTGAAAGTCAGCTTAGCTTTGGCACGGAAGGAAAACTCCTGGGACTCAGGCTGGTTTTACAGAGGAAGTCCCTTGGAAGTACCTTACAGAAATAGGAAGTCACGTGTCGCGGAGCTGAATCGAGAGTTCATTTCCACTGACCACATTTGCAGTTCATGCAAGTCTTGACTGCTCTGAGATCCCAGTTCGAACGTGTGACTGTGCACAGGCTGCTCAGGGACGCCAGTGACTTTAATTAGCTGCTAAACCTGGGCGCTTTTTCACACTCCTTGATGAAGTAAGGTGATTTGAGCCAAATCCAGTAACTGACCTGTCCCTTATGGACACTGGTGGGATTAGCTCAACTGTTCTGATGCACACCTGGAACTCACCTATCTAGACACTGACGCTGGTCCGCTCCAGTCCTAAACTCCTTCGAAAACAGGGAGGGGGTGATGCAGCTACCACAGCTGCACGCAAGTCCAAGAGGAAGCAGAGGAGGGGTTACAAAAGCCCTCTGTCTGGAATTCCAGCCGAGCCTGGGCAGAGTACTGTGGGATAAGGATGGGTTAATTCTTGCCCAGGGGCCACAAATGGTAAGAACTTTCCCTTGAGATGCAAGGCTCATATTACAGAAGCTCACCACCATACCATACCATATTTACTTGAATACTTTCTCCTCTCATATGTCACTTCCCCCAAATTCGGGGAAGAGAAATCCAGGAAAATGTTCTTTCTCAGGAAGTTCAACATCTTCCTTCTCTAGATCACCAGCCCCCGCAACCCAACTTGGAAATTATAATCTCACTCCCTAGTTGGGTGGCTAAGTGAGAGGCAGAGAGGCCAGGGCTCTCACCAGAAGTAGTTCAGGTTAGGTTCAGGAGGTGGTTTACACAGGCTGAAGCTCTAGAGGGGGAACTGAGAAATCCTGTGTTCAGGATTTCAGAATGAAAATGTCCAGGGCTCCGTCCCTTCCCTACACCGGACTCCTCTGATCAGAGCAGGATGGGCAGGAAGCACTGGTGTGTTTAAGCTGATCTGTGTTACTACCACAGGTTTCAGGGCTTCATGCACTAGGACGAAGGTAATACGGCTTACATCTGAAACTTCAGAGCCAAGGAAATTACAGATGTAATTATCACCTTGCACTCCTTTATAGATCATCTCATTTATAGAAGCAGAACAAGACAGGAAAGAACAAAACAAACAAACAAAAACAGGAGCTTTGAGATGATACAGGTTTTTGTTTTAGTCCAGTTCTAATAATGGAACAATGCTGGAAAAAATTATTTAACGTTTTGAGTTCTTCTTGCCAGACTTTGGGATCCTCTTACTCCTGTATGACATTTAGCCATAATTTTTCCTTATTTAAACCACATGCCACTAGCAGTACATGGACAAGCTTGTGCAGGAAAACATGATAGCTACACTGCATATAACCTTCAGTATTTTTGCAGTAGTCTGCTAATCACCTCTTTATTCCTGAAAATACTTCTTTTAATTATTTCCGTGCTGCCTATCAAGAACAAGAAGCTTAGAAACAGGAAGTGCTCCCATTGATTTTATTAGAATTCCCTGGTAGTTTGCTGACATCATACCCCACCAGCTCCATTTTATTTTTTCTTGGCATACTGACTCGGTCCCCTCCACAATGGGATCTCTCTTTGGCATCTGCCATGATTCTTTATTGCTCAACCCAAGAGATCCATGGCTTTAAAAAATACTGATATGAAGTTTCAGTAACATCAGCAGAAAACTGGAAGGGAAGAAAAGGCTAGATGAAGATTTTCCTGTTCTCCAGTGGTTGTCTTGATCGTTTTCTCTACTCTCTGTATGAATGTGTTTCATGTGATTGCTTATTCTCTTGGTTTTTCTACTCACAGCGAACAGCGCTCTCTTCCTTTACTGATGTGATTGTGGATCTGTCTTTAGATCTCGAAGCTGGGCCCACTGTGTTTTAAAGGAAGGCATCTACCCACTTTCCGTTTGTACCCTCAGCTCTGCCTTGTGAGCGCATGACGCCTTCACTCAAAATAAGCCACTTATTTTCTGAGTTCTTATCAGACTTGATTGTGGGCTGTGGTTAGTTCCCAGAATTGAACAGCTGTTCTCCATTTCATGAGAGACATTCTCAGACTTGCTCCCCATAAAAACAAAGAAAATCCCTATTAAACTGAAATAGTCTATCCAACCCAATTTGAAGATCCCCCAGGACGGATGAAGGAAAAACAATAATGGTGGTCCTTGGTGTCTTACTACATCCTATATCTAAACACAAGCACAGAAAGCAACGACGACAGCTATATTTGGGGCTGTACTCATTTATTTTCTTCCTAGAAGCACAGAGCATTGACTCTTCTTTGGGGGCTTATGTAGCAAGACATTACAAGAGACCGTAAAATCATACAGGATTCCTGAGCTGTATCTCTGGATTTCCTACCTTCTAGTTTTGTTGCATTAAGTCACAGACTCTTAGACACCCAACTGTCTCATCTGTCTACCCTTTCTCAGGGTGGAGGAGAGAAGGAAATCAGGACTTTTTATGAATGGACTAGTCTGTGCAAAAATGTTTACTAATTACCATCATACTAATACTTACCGATATTTGGGAATTTTTATTATGCAAAATGGCTTTTGTGGACTCAGTCATACTCAGCTCCTTCAAAGCTGTCACCAAGTCTAGGGGCTCTTTCTAAATACCAAATCAGTACATGAGTCATTGCATTTCCCAAGTGAAACCCATACACACCCTAGATCCATCCATACTGAAATTGCCCCACTGGAGGGTGATAAATGATGAGTGATTTGCTTGCTTCAAGGGAATATTTCTCATTTATGAACTATAAAATATAAATTACAATGGATTTATTTAGAAGCCAATAGAGAATCCTAAAAATATCTATTTTCAGAGGTCAAAAAATGTGGAGGCTGAATGATGGCTCAGGAGTAGTGCAACACTCTGTGAACCTAACCACAGGAGAAGGTTCTGGGTTTGTGTCCAGAGACTTCCCTGTACACTCCAGTCATACTCATGTCCCTGATCTGGGGTTGCTTGAAGCTGGGAATGGAACACAGTGTAAGGACCCTCTTGGGGGTGCTCTCTATCTGTCTCTGTTTCTCTTATTCATGGAAGAAAGATATGAATAAACATTAAAAAACAAAAGATATAGTCATTTTCCAGCCATACTTAACCACTGCCCATTACCCACATCAAACTGCACTTCAGGGAACCAACAGGTGGTGTGGTAGTTAAGGGCACTAGACTCCCACATGGCCAACCATGGTTCAAGTCCCAGACCTGACAGCTTGCTTTCTCACTTTCTCTCTCTCTCTTGCTGTCCCTCTCTGGTCAAAATTTTTAAAATAAATAAATAATAAAGTTAAATAAAATAATTCTTTATTTATTAAAAAAAAAGTACACTTTAGGAGTGGCATGCATGAATGCCCCCTCCTTCAACTAATAAGAATAAAATGATGGGGCAGCAGATGGCGAAAGGGTTACGTCACTGGACTTCCACATAGCAGACTGCGGTTTGAGTCCTGGACTCAGCAGCTTAAAACTTAGGCTGGTGGCATATGCATGCCTAAGATCCCAAGAGGACAATAGGAGGAGAAGAGATTGCAGTGTGGACATCCCCCCTAAGGGGTAATTTCTCACTTTCTGTGTCTCTGTTTCTCTGGAAAGTGCATAAGCCTTATAGTAAAAGTCTCTAAAAATAAAACAAAACACAGACTAAATGTCTGTAATATTTGAGGATTTTGGTTCTGTTTCATTTTTACTTAAGAATCCTAACCACTTGAATCAAATGGGCATTAACAGATGGCTACTACACAATCATTTACTCCAGTAGGTTTTTTACATTTATTTATGCCTTTTTACTGACTTTGTTTTGAACTGAGCTATTGATAAGTCCTCTGAGAACCAGAAAAGTTTCAAAACATCAATGTTGATAGTTTGAGACTCAAATTTACTTGGGTCCACTGAAGTAACTAGTTTTTACTGAAAAAAAGAGTCAAAATAACAGTATAGAAATAATGATGTTAAACAAACAACAAAACAAAACTGTAATTTGAACCTTCAGAAAAAAAAACAAAATCACTAAGAATGACCCTTTTTCTGGTTAACTTTGCTCTAGTAACCACCGACATGAGTGTCTACTCTACTGTGAGCAGTTTGGAGATGCCAGGAGTACGGGAGCCAGGAAGCTCTCACACTAGTAAAAGTGAATCCTCAACAGAAGTGTGACGACAAAATGGAGTCTCAATATTTCAGAGGAGGGCTAAGCACTGAGCAGACTACAAAGCTTGGACGATGTCAAAAGAGGGGAGATCTCGAGGCCAGCAAATGGCATGGTGCTGAACTCTCACGTGGCCAACTGCAGTTGTAGTCCCAGACCCGGTAGTTCACTAGTCACTTTCCCTCTCTCTTCCTTTCTCTGGTGAATTAAATAATAAGAAGTAAAATTAAATAATTTTTTTGTTGTTGTTGTTGTTAAAAGAGGGTATCTCTCTGTGAATTCATGGCTTAAAGAAATGGAGGTCCACTGTGGTCTGGTTTTAGGATTTGTCCAAAGCTTGAAGTCACAGTCATTGTACAAAGTACCTCTCTTGCTGGATTTGTACCAGGGCTAGAAGTGGCCAATCTCTGGTCTAGATGATTCAGCTGGTACCTGGACTCTAAGGAAAAAAAGAGCACTGATAAACATCTGCTTTGGTAGTTCCAAATTTGAGAGTCCAAATGCTAAAGGGCAGGCTCTCTGGTTTCTTGTTGAGTCAAAGATTCTGTCTCCCTCCACAATACTGGTTTTCATAAGATATTAGTTTTTGTTTCATTCAGCCTTCATTTCTAAGTTATGTCAAGTCTGCAGAGTCCACAGAGTGTTTTCATCATTCCAGACAACTTTGGCTGGAAGCCTAAAAATGTCTCTTGACTCTTACATCAGAGAGTTCAGT